CCACCCCCACCGTGAAGGGCCCTGGCCTGGGTGTGAGGCCTGCGACAGGCTTGTGACCCACATTCCCACAGGGGACTTTCCTCACTGGTCTGGGTGTGACCCCACCCCCAGGGACATAGTGCTGGTGTGAGCTCAGCCCTCTGACTAGGCCTCCGATGCCGGTTCTCCACAAGTTACGTAGCGGCCCAGCCCCTCATTGGTCCTCTATTCTAGAGCAAGGGACAGGGGTCATTGGTTGTTGGCATGGGGCTGGGATCGTAGGCCAGGCGATAAGTACTTTTTGTGCCTCTTCTTTGTACCAGACACTGCCAGACCCTGGGATTCAGCTCAGGCCCTCTCATGGAGCTCACAATCGAATAGGGGTTACAGGCCAGCCCACCCATTGTAAATAAATATATAAACACACGTGGGCAAAGTGCAGCAAAGGATAAGTGCTGTGGCAACAAGGCAGATAACAGGGGCCTCACCTTGTCCGGGGTTGGGGGAGAGTTTCTCAAGGAAGTGGCCTTGCAGCCGAGACAAGAAGAATTACGGGAACTGGCAGGTGAAGGACCAGAGGCCGGGAGTGTCGAGGAACTGAGAGTCACGTGTGGAGAGAGCGAGGGGGTGGAGATGCGAGAGGCCTCTAAACACCGCTGCTGGTTGCGGGCCAGGGCGGCCCTAACCCATCTCCCCGGCCCTTCCAGAACGGTTTGACCATCACTGCCCTTGGGTGGGCAACTGTGTGGGGAAACGGAACTACCGCTTTTTCTACGCGTTCATTCTTTCCCTCTCATTCCTGACGGCCTTCATCTTCGCCTGCGTGGTCACCCACCTGACGCTGCGTGAGTTGGGGATGACGGTGTGAGTGCGGGCGGGGGCAAGTGGGCGGCCCGGGCCGGCAAGCTCGGCCAGGTCAAGGGACTGTGGTCGCTCTCCCTCGAGCCGCGCCCTCTCCTGTCTCTTCCTCCCCAGGCTCTCAGGGAAGCAACTTCCTCTCCACTCTGAAGGAGACGCCAGCGAGATATCCTTTGTCGGCAAGGGGGAGCCCTGGTGGGACCTGAGGCCCCTTCACTGGGGCGGGTCCCCGCACCTCATCCCGTAAACAGGGGAATGGAGTAGAGCCGACGTTCGCGCTCTAGAATCCCGTCTGCCAGCTGCTTCTGTTCAGCCCCAGGCTGGAGCCGATTCTGAATGGACTCTTGTGGAGCTGGGATGGCCGAGAGCTCTCAGGGCCACAGTCCCTGTCCTCCCTTAAGACACCAAGCTCCCCGGACCATGCCGTGTCCGCAGTTCTGGTGTTTGGAATCCTCAGTTCCCTCTACCATCCATCACCCTGGGCTCGTCCTGCCCTTGGGGTGCTCGCAAACCCTGCTTGGGGCCCAGGAGGTGATCTGAGATCACGGGAAGCTTACAAAGTTATATCCTTTCTGGGGAAGTGGCTCCCCGGGAGGATGGGTGAGAGAGGCTGGCGAGGCCAGCTTCCAAGCACGGGGAGGCTCCCGGCCCCCGTGTCCGTGTGCCTCCTTGACCGCGCTGCTCACCGTGCTGGAGTTGGTGATCTGCTTCTTCTCCATCTGGTCCATCCTGGGCCTCTCAGGGTTTCACACTTACCTCGTCGCCTCCAACCTGACAACTAATGAAGACGTGAGTAAGGCTGGAGCAACACCTCATCCCTGGGCCCGATCCCAGGATGGAGGCAGGGCTGAGGGAGCCTGGAGCAGCCGCAGTGCAGCCCTGACTCTCAGACTGCCAGGGAAATGCGGGTGGAGACGTGAGGTGACCTGACATCTCCTTCCAGTGTTCAGGGCTGGGCCCCGGGAGACCCTGTGCAGGCTTCCGAGGCCCCCTCGGTGCTGGCTCCCAGGGTCCCGAGGTTGCTTTCTCCCTAGCCCCGCTAGAGCAACACTCACACCATAGCCGTCATTACATTTGGCCGGCTCATTACCATTTCCAGAGTTCTTACAGTTTCCGTCATCTCTTTGGGTCCTTTTGCCAACTCTGAAGCAGAAGGAACGAGGATGCTTTTTCTTCATTTGATGGCTGAGTGACTTGCCCCAGGTCACCCAGCTGGAAAGGGACAGAGCCAGGGTTGCACTCAGAAGCTCGCTGTGCCCACCGCGCTGCCCTTGTAGACAGCGGTGATGTGCCTGTTCTCAGGATGTCCTGGGGCTCTCTGAGGCATCCTTGTTGAGGGGGCTGGCCAGGACAGAAATGTGAAGCTCCATCAACCTCCTGACCTGCTGCCTTGTAGATCTCTACCAACAAGCATTGTTTGAGCACCCACTGTGTGCCCAGCCCTGGGCCAGACCTGACCGCCCACCCCCCTGCCCCACCATCCTTCCAAACAACAAAAAAGCAAATGAGAGCATCTGTTCCAGGGCTACCATCTGATACTGCTCAGAGGCCCATTGACCAACAGAAAATACATTTCTTGATCTCAGCCTGTCTTTCGGGGAAACAAAACTTAACATGCCCAATAGGGTATCACATGCTGGGTGATTGGTACAGAGCAGAAATGATGTCAGCCAGCTTCTCCCAAGGTGACTTCCTGGGGGCTGTTTCTGCAGGATAATACTAGGGGTTAAGCAAAAAGGGGTGTCATGGCCAAATAAGTTTGGAAAACTCTAGGTTAAACTCAAGTCAGTATCCTTTACTGCTAATCTCCTTAATGCCTTTGATAGCCGGCTTCACAGAGCTAGAGATGGGCAAGATTTCATCTAATGCTCCGACAGTGTTACCAGAGAGTTCCCTATTTTTCAAATGAGGACTGAGACTCAGAAGTGGTGATCTGTCCAGGGTCATGCAGCAAGTCTGTGGCAGAGCCAGAGTTCACGGCCAGGTCAGCCTGAGCCCTGTGCCCTTGCACTATCCTCCCTCTTGGGTGGCTGGACAGAGAAGGAAGGATGCACCCACAAAGTCTCCTTTGGAGGCTTCTCTTTGGCTCTGCTCTGTCTTCTGTCTTGGTTAGCGCCTCCTCTTCTGGGTGCCCCCCAACATCCAGCAGTCCCCCACATCCTCACTGAATGGCCTGGGTTAAGGGCATGCTCCCTGCAATAGACTAGCCAGAATTGGTTTCAGAATTTGCTGATTTTCCCCAGCCTCTAGAACAAGTGAAATGAAGGGAGGTACCTGACCCCGAGCTCCTTCCTGCTTGCAGATCAAAGGCTCGTGGTCCAACAAGAGGAGCGGTGAGGCCTCTGTCAATCCCTACAGCCATAAAAGTGTTATCACTAACTGCTGTGCTGTGCTCTGCGGCCCCCTACCTCCCAGGTAAGCCAGCGGGTACAGGGGAAAGGTCATAGGGCCTGGCCTGGCCAGGCCAGTGGGGGGTGGCCCTGTGAGTCTATTCCTCTGAAAGAGGTTCTGGAATCAGCAGACCTCTCCCCACACCACAGATGCCCTCTGTCCACCATCCCCTGCTGGATGCACTCAGGACACTTGTCACGTAAAGGAATTCTGTAGAGAGTTTTAACTTGTAATCCCGTGCGATCATTGTAGAAAAAAATTAAGTACAAAATACTAACAAGAGTGTTGTATATCACATGTAATCCTACTCCCCAGGGATAACCACAATTAATGTATTGTCCATGCTAGAGTGAGGCTGCCTTTCTGGTGCTGAAGGCTGGACTGGGTGGGGCCTCCGTCTTCCTCCTGGCAGAGGAGAGCCCTGGTGGCTCAGCCCTGCTGGGAAGCGCCCCCCTCTGTCCTGACACCAGGGGGCGCTAGATGTCCAGCTCCGGAGTTAAATTGGGCACTGTGGGGGCGGGGGAGGGAGGCTGGTAAGACTTCCCAACACCATCCCCACCTTCTCCTGCTCAATATCCAATATGCTTCTCTCCGATCCTGCCCCCGGGGAAAGGACAGTAGGAATTGCACCATCTCCCAATGCCCTTTCATCCTTGCTCTTCCCCTTACCTGCAGCCTGGGAGCCCGACAGAACGCTGGACAGTTTGAATTAATAGTGGATAAAACCTGTGGCCGAAAGCCAAGTGTCCAGAGTACAGAGAGGGCCCTTCCAGAAGGGAAGGGTCTTGAGCCGCCAACTGGAGAGCAGCTCCCCTTTCCTCAGCCTTTCTAGGGCTGGGTCTTTCCTTGGCTGGGAGATGGACCATGCCATCCAGCCCCCGGCCTGGAGCTCTGGTGTCAGGCAGGGCCTCATGTGTCCCCCCACCTTGTATTTTGAAAGCCTGATTGACCGGAGGGGATTTGTGCAGTCTGACACCGTGTTGCCCTCGCCCATCAGAAGCGACGAGCCAGCCTGCAGAGCCAAGCTTGATGCCAGCATGGTAGGAGGCCACCCCTGAACCGGGCTCAGTACTTGCCACCTGCTGGCCTGTATGCCCCTCCGCACTCACCTGCCGCCCTCCACACCTACCAGGACCCTCCCCATTTCACCCGAAGGGAAGCAGAGCTGCCAAAGACTTTTTAAGTCTTTTCATATTTATTTCCCACCCTGCGTGGCTTTCCCCACACTGTGCCATGGCTGTACCCTCTGCTCCCTAAACCAGGTTCCCACGGTCTTGGGCGCTAAATTCCCCCAGCTGATCAGTGGCAGGAGTGACAGGAGAGAGCGGCCAGGGCTCCTGAGGCTGCCCAGGGGACCACGCCAAGCCTCTGCCGTGCCTCCGAGCCGTGCCCCGTGCGAGTGAGGGTGCGGACTGAGTGTGATGCCTCCAAGGTGGGAGAGCTGCTGGGCCCTGCTGGGCCAGGGTCCAAGGGGTGAAGCAGGACCGAGGAGCAATCGGCTCTGGACAGCAGGCTGTCGGAGAGGATGCTTCTGTGGTCTGCTTTGGTCTGTGGTCTCCTTCATTCTTTTTGTGATAGCCATTGTTCTTTCTTCCATTTTTGTTTTTGTATGGAGTTGGCCAGTAGACTAGAGCTGGGGCTCCAGGTAGAGAGGGCAGAGCTGGGGGTGGCAGGGGTAGCCTGTGTCAGAGGAAGCCAAACCGGAGCCAGGCACCCGAGACCTCAGCTCCTGCATGATTCCTGGGCAGCACACTAGGAAGCGGGGGCCTCGCCCTCTCTCTGCCCACGGACGGTTCTCCAGGGGCCCAGCCTGGCCCCTCACCTTCCTCCCAAGTCAGGTCTGGGGATGGGCAGGTTATACTCATGCTGGCAATACTTGAAATGGGTTTATTGATGCTGGGTATTTTGCACAATTTTATAGACCTCTTTTCTACATAGGCTTTTTTAAATGGAAGAAAAATGAAGTCAGCCACATTGCTCTCTGTGTAGTGCCAGGTTAAGGGTTATCAGAAGGCAACTTGGTTTTAATAAGTTTATTACAAGAGACCTTCTGGCCGTGAGTGAGTGAGTGTGTGTGTGTATGTATGTGTGCGCTCGCGTGCCCGTGTGTATGAATGTGATTGGCTCCCACTCCCCCACACCCCCTGGGCTGCCTCACTCGCCACTGTCCCCCTTGGGTGTCGGCCGGTGGTGGCAGCAGCGGGAGCAGCCTGAACCATGGGCACAGGGAGTGTGTGCATTGGTCACAGGAGACCCCTGGGCTCCTGCGGCAGTTCAGCCTCATCTTCCTACCTTCCCCTCCTCCAAGGACTTCAGACAAACAGTGGCTGGTACTCAGCCGCCCAGCCCCCAGGTCAGGCTTCCAGCTGGGACCTGCCCAGACAGGCTGGGGCCTGGTCAGGTGGACGGGGTAATGGCTGTGGGGAGTGGCTGCCATCCTGCACGCCACACTCCTTCCTCCAAGGTCTGAGTATGGGACCCAGTGCCAGGGGCTAGAGTATGGGGAGTCGGCCAACTGGAGGCCTCCCTCCAGAGAAAAGGAAGGAACAGGGTGGGCCGAGAGACGAGTGAAGGTTGGCCTAAATCTGGGTCAGAAACTTAGAGGATGTCCCTCCTCTCCTGGGAGTTTTAGTTTCTTGTCAAAATAGATAGGAAATTGTCCCTCTGTCTCCTTCCTTGGCCCTTTAAGTGGGCTGAAGCCCTTGGAAAGTGACATAGGAAGTCCTCGCATCTTGTCCCTCCTTGCTGCAGAGGCTAGTGGGTCACAGGCAGCTGAGAAGTGGCAGCTGCAAGGGGTTCCCTCTGGGAGCAGCAGCTTCGCCCCGGCCTCAGGACCCTGGGCCATGCTGCCACGGCAGTGGGGGTGGGGAGGAAGCTGGCTAGAGGAGGGGACTCCTACCTGCCTTTTATTTAAGCCAGTATTCTTTGTTCCTGCTTGTAATAAAATTTTTGTTTTTAAGAATTGATTCGCTTTGGTTTGGTTTTTGTTTGCTCTTTCTTTGCTGAGGCCCCACCTGGCAGCTCTCTGTTCTTCCAGCCAAACTTGGTCTTTCCTGGGGAGACAGAAAGAAGGCGGCCCAGTGACCTGGCGAACGGTCTCCTCCCCTGGCTGGAGTCTGTCTGCTGGAGGCTGAGCAGAGGGGGCTGCAGCTAGGCCCCCGCAGGCGTGTAAGAAAAGGCCATCCTGTCTCTTCTTTGTCGCCTCTACCTTCCCCTGCCTTGGGGGCTTGGAGACCCCTGAGTTCTTCCTCCTTGCTGTCTTTCCGTGCTGACCCCCAGGGACTGCTCAGCTAAGAAAATGTTTATAAGGCAGTGGATTCCAGATTGAGAGCCAGAGCCTCCCTGGCCCCCGCCCAGGCAGCAGGGCCCGGCCAGACAGCTCGTAACGCTGGCCCACCTCTGGTATCTCCCCCAGGACACCTGTCAGGATTTTGCCATCTCCTGCACAGCCTGAGGGGAGCTAACAGGCCTCTTTGCAGAGGGTTAGCTGGTAAGACTGTATCTCCCCGTCAGCCAGCACCGCCCGCTCCCCTCACACACCGTGTCATCCTCATCGCATGCCTCGCCATCCCCACGGAGCCCGTTCATCTGTCTGGTGTGTGGTGTGGTGTGTGTGCTGGTCGTGGTGGGGCCCCCAGGACTCCCCCCTAAGCAGAAGGGCCGGGGTGTTGGGGCAGGTCTAGAAGCCCAGCCCCACTCTGGACTGAGGAAGTGGCTTCGCACGGAGCAGCTCCCCAGCACCTGCTCCGAGGTGCCCGGGCCCCTTCGGGTGGCGTCCTGGTGTGCAGGGGCCCTTGATCACTAACACTGTGTCCTGGCTTCCTGTCCCTGCAGAGCTTTCTCTCACCTGCTTCCTGTCCCTGCAGAGCTTTCTCTCTCCTGCTTTGTTGCCTGCTGCCCAAGCCTTGGCCCTTCTGTGGGGAAGAGGCAGGTGCTGTGGCACCCCTGTGGGCCTCCTCTCTCCTCCCGTACTCGCTAACCCTCTCTCTTCTCCCTCTTTGCTCTCCTGCCCTGGATCTCCAGTGTGTGCGGGGGCTTAAGGACCTCCTGAGGACCGCTGCTCTCTGCCTCTCCAGGAGCGGCCTGGGGGGAGCCAGGCACCCGGCACCTCCACCTGCCTAACCCGGGCCACCGTCTGTGCCTACAGGGTCTGCCCCCAAGCCTGCCCCACACGTGTTCTCACTAGGGCCCCCCATAGGAGGCAGGGGCTGGCCTCTCTGCCCCCGCCCCCCTCCACGCGGCCAGCGTAGAAAGCCATAAAGCGCACGATGACATAATACTATGCTGAAACTCGCCCTCCCCTCCTCCGCTCTCCTTCCCCTTCCCCGGATCTGTAAGGAGTCAGGACTCTAGGAATCTTGCCTTAGAGCCTGCCCAGCCCCAGAATCGGGCACAGCTCTAGTCGAGCCCAGCAGGTTTCTTCAAGGAGCCGTCTGGGGTGCTGACTGTTGCTGTTGAACCAGTTCGGTGACCGTCCTAAGCACAGCTGGTCTGACGCTGTTCCCACGGCGCCACCCCCACCCCCGGAGCAGGTAGGATGCCAGGAGAATGCTTGTACCCTTTGCTCCAGGCACTGAGGGACTGAGCTGGCTCTGGCAACCCCGTGCTCTCCAGAGGAACTAAAGGAAACCGGGCCGGGCCTAGGAAGTCTGCTGAGCTCATGGGCGTGCGGTGGGTGCTGCTTGTCTGCTGTCCTGTACCTTTTTTAACCAAAATAAAGATTTCCCTCTTCTTGCCATACCGTTGGCTGTCTGGTACCACCTCTGCTTTGGGGTCCAGGGCTGGGGCCTGTGATGAATCTGCAGAACATCGCCAGCCTTGTCAGCTGGTCAGTGCTGTTCTGGAGATTTAAAAAGGAGGCACAACGGAGCCAGAAGTGACACAGGCAGAGTGGCTAGTGTCATCGTCACCCTGCCCCTCTGGAACTCCTGGTCTCAGTTCCAGAGACCTTAGCTGACCTCTGAACTTGGGAAGGTCCCAGCCTAGGCTGGGACAGAGGGTTTAACTCCAGTCAGGGACTGTCACACCCCTGAACTGAGCCCAGCCCAGGGTAACAATGGAACCTTCCCTTTCCCCAGCTGCCGCCCCACATCGAGATACACACACAGTGTTCTAAGAGCTAAAAAATAATTACGGTGGCCATTTAGCAAGGGCTTTGCCCATTCTCTTCCCTAAACCTATGAAGAAGGCAATGGCAGCCTTTTTACAGGTGAGGGAACAGAGGCTCAGGAAAGGCACGGAAATTTCCCAGGGTCTCCCAGCTGATAAATCCAGGATTTGAACCTGATCTCTGCCCCAACCTCTGACCCTTCTGCACCACCCAAGGAATGAATTTGGCTGCTGTGGGAGGAGGGGCTCTCAGGGAGAAACCCTAAAATTAGAGAATGTCATTCAGAGCCAACAGGGGGCTTAGTGATGATCTGTGTTGGCCTCCTTGTACTGATGGGGAAACTGAGGCCAAAAGGCAGGAAGGGACCTGCTCAAAGCCTTATAATAGAGCTGGGATGCAGTTTCACCCCCGGACCTTATTCCATTCTCTTTCCAGTAATTCCACACTGTGTCCTCGACTGGAATGGCCTAGGAGACGTAGGGCACTCTAAACAGCAGCACCTTGAGGAAGAAAACTCAGATAGCTGAGTCACTTAAAAGTAATCTCTCTCCCAAAGGCAACCAACTAGTACAGCGCGCTCTTAGCTGAATAACTGAACCCTTGTTCACAGCTAACCAAGGGAGAAGGTGCCATAGTTTCTCAAGTCACCTGTTTAATTTGATCATTCCAAGACTGAAAAACTTTCCTAGGAAGCTCTTTCTGAAATCTAACCAGAATCCCTCCTGCTACAATCCGAGCCCTAGCCTTTTTCTCAATGGAGGTAGATAGCAACTGGTTGCTATCTTGTCTATGCCACAACCCTTCAAAGCCTGTTCAAAGCCTGTTATTACTGGCTAAGACGGATTGGTTGTCTGTGAGACCAGAGGCTTTGATCCTGCTGGTAGGATGGATGCTGTATGGGAGGGTGGGGAGGTAGCAGGCAGGATGAGGAAAGCCCCTTTGGGCTGCGGCCCCCGCTCCTGTCCTGCTGACTCAGGTGGCTGACGGTGGAACTTCGTGCCCTGCCAGGGCCTGCTACCTCCTGCCTGCCTGGGCTCCTGGACTTGGGAAAGGGAGGCCTGGAGGCAAAGGGAGGTGCCTGAGACAGG